CCCACAGCAGGTATCTACAACAGCTAGGCCTTACGACTTCAACTATCGAAACAAAGGACTACAACAAAGGTGGATAGAGCAGGACTATCAGGTCCTGTGGGGGTGTGTCGAGACGCGGTGAAAGCCTTCACTAGTATTCACGGTGAATCAGGCTTCCCGTGCTCTGATTGGCCAGGCACTGATTAGTCAGCTGCTCCGTGCGCGCACCATAGATATTCTCCCTTCTCCCGTAGCTCCAATACAACAAGTTCACGCACATTTCTCTACCTTCATCAGTAAGGTCGTCAACCAACTTCGAGTTGACTCGAGTAATGCGAGAACCCTTACTTGTGGTTGCTCAGACAGACGTTTACTCGTGGTTGGTTGTTACGTAATCAACCAAAGTCAACCAACCAAGCCAAGTTACTTGGTTATTGGACACACTGGCGATCTGATTGGCCGGTCCCGGCACACACGGAGTCCCGTCATAGAGGGATAGACGTTAACAAAAAGGCTAACGTTAATGCTGGAAACAAACGTCGTCGCACTCTATGTAAGATAAGAGCTGATGATAAAGAGAATACACTTGAGAAGAGGAAGAAGTAGATAATCAACAAGGCTCTTAGCATAGCTACTGTAGGACTCGCAGAAGAACCTCCCCAACGTTACATAGGTATGAAGCGCGTCACGGATGATGCAGCGCATTGCGCGCACGTACAAATACGGCCAACTAAAAGACCTTGATCGCTTAAATCGACATCAGAAGCCTCATTATCATTAGAGGCCTCATTATCATCAGAAGCCTCATGATAAGTGTACACCTCTCGACTTGGTTGCTTTGCAACTCTAACAACCAGTCTTCCTTTACCGTCAAGTCCGGGATTGATCAAGACTGAATTGTCCGAGGGCTCTCCTAGGTCAAAACTTGTGAAAGGTTCCAGGTGATAAATCTGGTAGAATGCTGTCTCCTGCCAGCCACTTTCCGTTTTGATGGCTACTGCTATTTCCACTTTCTTCTTTCCACAGAAGATAAAGTAGTCATTATATCCGTAAGTGGCGAAACAGCAATGACCACCCCAATTGTTATTAATGGAGTCACCCAAATCTATCTTTTCTGGTAATTTCTTGTCTTTCCATGGCTGGAAAATAATGAACAAGCCTTCCTGGTGCAAAGCTACATCCCCTTGGCTGGAGACTACTAGTACATCCATGTACATGTGGTTTTCGTCATAGGTTTTGATTAAGAAGTCCTCTTTTTTTCCTTTATTGGGATCGATTTTGTGTAAGTAGTGGTCTCTACCCAATTTAGTCACAACCTACAGAATTTCGGTAGTCTTGCAGAACGTATGAGCTACGATGAGCTTTTTAAACAGCTGCTTAAAAGGCTCTAAAGGCCTTGTGTTGATACGGCTAAGGTATCGGAATCACCTTCGTTGCAACGAGTTGAAATGATTGTGATTGTTCTTGTTGTTCTATGGAGGTGGAGGGAGGTCGGCAGTAAGGCAGCAGCTAGAGCTCGGACCACACGGCTTAGTCAGCCGTGTAATCCAAGCTCGTGCATGCAGCAACCAGCTGCCTTATCTACCGCAGGTTCGATTCCCAACACTGACTATCTTTTCTTTTTGTGCCGGGAGATCAGATCCGTCCCCAAATCCTCCAAATCTGTAATAATATCCTGCTGCCGAAATGTAGCTAGTTGCCTATCTCGGCTAGCGCTATACGCCTTCCTGTATGCCCTTATGTCCTCCTCTTGTGTCCTTCGTTATCGCGCACACGTGCCCGTTGACTACTTGGTGCCTTCAAGGTTGCTGAGCTCGGTGCTCTCGGTCGTGGGCTTGGTGTTGCGATCAACGGTTGACCCACCCTTGCACTCGGAGGTTGAGCTCGTTAGAGTTGATGAGGTTCTCTATCGCGGCGTTGCAACCTGCCTTTGTCATAGAGTCTGCTGGGTTGTCGCGACCGTCGATCCATCTGATATCCATGAGTTCGCTGCGCTCGTAGGCTTCGCGCATTGCCATGATGTCAATCATAAGGCGTTTCTCCGTAGTGGTGCCGAGCGTGACAAAGCAATCGTATAGCGATCGCGAGTCGGTGCATACCCCGATGGGGACCTTAGGTAAGTTGAGTCGTTCCATGACCATATCAATGGTGCCGCCGATCGCGACTGCGATATCTACGCCGTGCGCCATCGCGTAGATCTCGGAGGCGAGGACGCTCCTGGTGATCCGCTTGCATTTGACTGAGGAACAGTGGACGATGTTGCCACGTATCCCGAAGTTTGTGTCGCTTGAGGTAACTTCATTGCCGAGTACGATGACGAATCCCATCTGGGAGCTCATATCCTTGTTGTTGGCAAAGGACGCGTCGACTAGGGTAAACAGCTTGAGGTTGCGTATGTCCAGAGGTACGTAGGTCAACCCATGGCAGAGGTTCTTCTTTTGCCATTCGATGCGTTTGTTTAACTTGGATATTTCTTCTTTTGTAGGCTCACTCGCTTGCGCAGCAGCGGCGAGGTCGAAGCTTGCTTCGGGTTGACAGATTGTCGCGATGTAAGCGCCACGTGCGCGTTGTTGAACGTCTTCTTGTCAGTTGCGATCTCCAGTTTCTCACCTTGTTTCTTTTGGCGTAGTGTGATCACGCCGTCTGTTGTGAGACTAACGACGCACCCGTTAAAGTCGATAGGGTTGTTAGTAGTAAGAAACTGCTTCTCTTTGGCGCTGAAGCGCAGCTCCTTGCTCTCCTTATTGGCAAACACGTCATCGGACAGACCGAGCGTGTCATCAGTTTGCATGCCGACAATACCAAAGCCTAACGCCGTTGGCTTGGTGATTAAGAGGCACGGGTCATAGGTTGATGTTTCCATCCCGAGTGTCGTGGTATGGTGTTTGAAGTAGGTTGACCACCAGTACGCTCCTGCCTCGGCGATGCCGTACAGCGGCTTCACGACCACCATGATGGTGCCTTTGGGATAGGCATCGCGGAGTTGCGTGGGAAGATCCGCGATGATCGTGCGCTGGAGATGGTCATCGGCTTGCGTGTACGCCTGCGTGATATCTCGAAGCCATAGCGTCATGCCCATTTGAAGCAGTGAGGGTGCAAGCGCGATAATAATGCGCTGACTGGCGCGCTGGATCGTCGGGCTTTGTGTGAGCACAATCCGTTTTCCATCATCGGCATAACCCTGAACAACGAGGCGCGATTTCTCGTACGGCTTAGTGGTAGTTTTGCCTTTGACCTCGTTGACAATCCGTGACTTAAAGACGCGGATGCCACCATGGCGTTGAGGGTCATACTCCTCGAAGCGGAACACTCCGCGAGTGATCAGCGCGTCAATCTCTGCCTTGGTGGATAGTTCGAATGGTTCGCCTAGGGTTGTGATCTTGCCAGTGGCACGCAGCTTCCTGGACAGCACTAAGTCGTCCTCCTCGCGTTGCGTGAGGTTGACGTCGTTGGTCTCGATGGGAGCTGGTTTTGGCTTGTTTTTGGAGCCTTTGGGGCGACCGCGCTTTCGTGGAGGTGGAACTTCTGTCTCTGGGATAAACTCGTCATCGTCCGCATCCCCGCAATTGTCGTTGTCGTCGTCGTCGCGCGGGATAACGGTGGAGTTGTTGCGGTGGTATGGCTGCACCGATGTGACTCGAAATGTCGCCTGCCTGCCGTCGACGTCGACAATCGCGGCGGTTAGGTCGTCGTTCATGGCGATGAGGGTATGGGGACCAGTCCAACCGCGGTTCTCGCGCCAAACCTTTACGCTGCTCTGGATCGGGAGCTGAAGCGTTTCAATGACGTTCGGTCCGTTGCGTGTCGCAAGTGCGTCGTTCACCTGGCGTTTTGCTTTGATCTTGCGGACCTCCGCCATCGCGTTCTTTATCGCTTTCGCGCGCGCGCTGATGGATGGTGATGGCGGCGATGTCTTGGATAGGCGGGGGTAGGTGCCAAAGACGAGGAGAGTAGGCACAAGGCCATCTGGACCAGCAGTGTCGTTGACGGCTTTCACAGCCATCTGGAGGAGGTGTTCAGATGACGTGTCGCTGTCTATGTCGGCGGAGATGACTTCGAAGGCACGGCGGATGGCCGCATGGTACCGCTCCACCTTGCCGATGGAGTTATGCGCCTCGACAGGCACCTCGTCAACCTCGATGGCCATTGTCTTTGCATTGTTGACAAACTCCTCGCTCGCAAAGTTCTTGCCAGCGTCGGTGGCTATGACATCAGGCGGACCAACGTACATATCGATCCACATGGCGCGGAGTGTGTCCCATGTTGTGCTTGCTTTCATGTCGGTGAGAAAGCGCGCTGCTTGGAAGGCAGTTGCTTCGTCAATAGCATGAAGTACTGGCCTCTGATTAATGTACATCACGTCGACGATAAGTCGATAGTTGAAGTTGATATCGTCGCGGAGGGTAAACCGAAATCGTCCTGGCGCCTTGCCAGTAATCTGACATTGGTGACAGAACTTGTTGATCTTTTCGATGGTCGCCGCATCGACTTCGTCATAACCTGCTCTCGCGAGGACCTTGTAGAGTCGTCCCGCAGCTGGATGACCAAAGCGCCGATGGAGTTGCGCAAGCTCTACCTCGGTGAGGTAGTGCGTCGCGGTCTCTTGGTCGTCGAGCAGGAGCCATGGGTGTCCCCATTTGCGCACAATGGGGTACTCCCGTGACTCGTGTACAAGCACGTTGTCAACATTGTTGAGGTAGATCCCGTGGCGGTCCATGTCTGCAAGGCACAGCAAGAAAGGCGTGTTGGTCGGCATTACCGCAAAAAGTATAACGCCGAGCGGGGTTTTGACCTTCACCTCGCCAAGTGAGAGACACTCTGGGTTATCTCCAAATCGAATTCGGTGGCGACCTGCCGTGGACTCATTGATCGTGGCCGATGGCTGGAGGCGTTGCAGTGCCATGACCTGGGTCTTTCCTGCAGTGGAGACTCCGGCCGCGCCGGTGTCGGGCATGATGCCTTGGAAACAGTGAGCACCATATCGGTGATCGAAGGTGAACATGTGGGGTGCCTCCTTTGCAGTCTCCGACGCGTATGGGTCGATCCCAGTGATCGCGTGGGTCGCCGCGGCGTCGTTGAGGTTGATGGTGAGCGCTTGCCCGTCGATGGTTCCGCAAGCAGCGGTGTTGAATTGTTCATGTTGGAAGTACGCATCGAGGTCATCAACGCGGTTGCCGTCGTCGTCCTCTGCCTCGTCATGAAGCTCGATGCCTTCGAATCCGGCGAGGAACACGTCGTAGTCGTCATCGAGATCGTGGTTTTGGACATAAGTCTTGAAGCGTTGGTGCGACTCATTGCGCTCCTCGTGTGAATGTCGCGTTGACCAGCATCCTTGTTTGCCGCACACATAGCACTTTTTATCGTGCGAGCGGCGGGGAGGGTATCGCGGTCGTGACAGCGTCGGTCCGCGGTTGAAGCGACCGGTGCCATAGCCTCGGGGTCTGTCGCGAGGTTCGTCGTTTCGGTTGTATCGTCGGTTTGTGTAGAAGATGTCATCGTCTGTCTGTTCATTGTCATAGTTGAACTGCGTTCGAGCATGCGGGTGACAGCGTTGCCAGTTACCGACGGCGTTGCGGAGCTCTGAAGCGACTGCTTCAAAGGTCGACGCAGGTCGGATCAGGACTGCGCTGCAGGCTTCGACACCCTGGCATGCTGACACAAGTTGTCCGGTGAGGCTTGACTCGCTGAGTCCATTCTGCTGAGCCATCGCTTGGTACAGCTTGTGGAGCTTGTCGATGAGCAAGTCAAGGCATTGCGCAATTGTCTTGTCAGGATTACTTGCGATGACGTCCTTTAGCATAATGGTGCGCCATTCGTTCAAGAACAACTGGTAGTTCTCGGTAGTGTGGAAGTAGGCGCCCAGTTTCGCGATGATGTCTTCGTATCCAAGGTCAAGTGGAGCGATAGATTGGTAGTAGTAAGTTGACGCTTTGCCAGTAAGCATAGTAGAGATGGCTAGCTTGTAGCGGTCAGTTTGGCCAGGTTGAATGCCGACTTTGGCGCAAAGCTCTCGAAAGATGACCAGTTTGTGACTGAGCACGTCATACTTGTCACCACTGGACTTATCGTTGTTATTGTACAGCTTCGCGAGGTTTGTGAGTGCTGTCACGTTGAGTTGAGCTGGCGACGGTGAGTACTGTGCTTGTGGGTATCCTGTTGGTGGCTGCGGAGGGTTAGGGTAACTGTAGTTGCTGTTTGTGAGCTGTCGACACTTGAAACCGTCGACGAGTCGCATAAGCTCAAGCTCGTCGTCAGGCCATATCGGGCACGACGAGAGATGGAGGAGGTTGTACAGTTGCGTTATTACTGTGTCACGACTGTTGATCTGGATGTAAATCCCTCGGTGTCGGAGCAATTCCTTGACTGCTTTCCGGAGCCGCACGTCGACCGCACTTATGATATCTTGAGTCCAATCCTCGAAGGACTTTTGGAACTCCTGGAGGATGAAGAGGTCGAACTGTCCATCGTCTTCAACTTGGACGACCCAATCGAGGACGACAGTGTTCAGTTTGTCGGTGTTTATGACTGTGTCGGTCGGGTCGAGTTCCGCGTTGACATACTCACTCTTGTGCATCTCGGAGTACCACGATCGGTACTTGACGCTCTTGTATGGTGCCATGGTGCTGAAGTCAGTCGATTGTTTGCTGTTAGTTGCAGGCGTTGTCAGTTGTTTTTGTGCGTGGTTGACGCAGATCTTTTCGTTCAAGATCTCCTTCAGAACTGTCGGCGAAAGCGCTACCTTGATAGGTAGTCTCTGCGGGCGGTGCTGTACTTCGCACTCCTTGCTACTGTGAGGTAGGAGGAGTCGCTTCTTGGCCAAGACTACACAGTGTTGGATCGGAGGAGAGATGAGAGAGAAGGTTGTTCTATTGAGAGAGTTGCAGAGAGCGACTATATACATGAAGTAGAGTATCTGGAG